ACGAAAACATGAAGTCAAGTAGAGTCACATACAAGTCACATGAAGTCAAGTAGAGTCACATACAAGTCACATGAAGTCAAGTAGAGTCACATACAAGTCACATGAAGTCAAGTAGAGTCACATACAAGTCACATGAAGTCAAGTAGAGTCACATACAAGTCACATGAAGTCAAGTAGAGTCACATACAAGTCACATGAAGTCAAGTAGAGTCACATACAAGTCACATGAAGTCAAGTAGAGTCACATACAAGTCACATGAAGTCAAGTAGAGTCACATACAAGTCACATGAAGTCAAGTAGAGTCACATACAAGTCACATGAAGTCAAGTAGAGTCACATACAAGTCACATGAAGTCAAGTAGAGTCACATACAAGTCACATGAAGTCAAGTAGAGTCACATACAAGTCACATGAAGTCAAGTAGAGTCACATACAAGTCACATGAAGTCAAGTAGAGTCACATACAAGTCACATGAAGTCAAGTACAGTCAAGTACAGTCAAGTACAGTCAAGTACAGTCAAGTACAGTCAAGTACAGTCAAGTACAGTCAAGTACAGTCAAGTACAGTCAAGTAGAGTCACATACAAGTCACATGAAGTCAAGTAGAGTCACATACAAGTCACATGAAGTCAAGTAGAGTCACATACAAGTCACATGAAGTCAAGTAGAGTCACATACAAGTCACATGAAGTCAAGTAGAGTCACATACAAGTCACATGAAGTCAAGTAGAGTCACATACAAGTCACATGAAGTCAAGTAGAGTCACATACAAGTCACATGAAGTCAAGTACAGTCAAGTACAGTCAAGTACAGTCAAGTACAGTCAAGTACAGTCAAGTACAGTCAAGTACAGTCAAGTACAGTCAAGTACAGTCAAGTACAGTCAAGTACAGTCAAGTACAGTCAAGTACAGTCAAGTACAGTCAAGTACAGTCAAGTACAGTCAAGTAGAGTCAAGTAGAGTCAAGTAGAGTCAAGTAGAGTCAAGTACAGTCAAGTACAGTCAAGTACAGTCAAGTACAGTCAAGTACAGTCAAGTACAGTCAAGTACAGTCAAGTACAGTCAAGTACAGTCAAGTACAGTCAAGTACAGTCAAGTACAGTCAAGTACAGTCAAGTACAGTCAAGTACAGTCAAGTACAGTCAAGTACAGTCAAGTACAGTCAAGTACAGTCAAGTACAGTCAAGTACAGTCAAGTACAGTCAAGTACAGTCAAGTACAGTCAAGTACAGTCAAGTACAGTCAAGTAGAGTCAAGTAGAGTCAAGTAGAGTCAAGTACAGTCAAGTACAGTCAAGTACAGTCAAGTAGAGTCAAGTAGAGTCAAGTAGAGTCAAGTAGAGTCAAGTAGAGTCAAGTAGAGTCAAGTACAGTCAAGTACAGTCAAGTACAGTCAAGTACAGTCAAGTACAGTCAAGTACAGTCAAGTACAGTCAAGTACAGTCAAGTAGAGTCAAGTAGAGTCAAGTAGAGTCAAGTACAGTCAAGTACAGTCAAGTACAGTCAAGTACAGTCAAGTACAGTCAAGTACAGTCAAGTACAGTCAAGTACAGTCAAGTACAGTCAAGTACAGTCAAGTACAGTCAAGTACAGTCAAGTACAGTCAAGTAGAGTCAAGTAGAGTCACATACAAGTCACATGAAGTCAAGTAGAGTCACATACAAGTCACATGAAGTCAAGTAGAGTCACATACAAGTCACATGAAGTCAAGTAGAGTCACATACAAGTCACATGAAGTCAAGTAGAGTCACATACAAGTCACATGAAGTCAAGTAGAGTCACATACAAGTCACATGAAGTCAAGTAGAGTCACATACAAGTCACATGAAGTCAAGTAGAGTCACATACAAGTCACATGAAGTCAAGTAGAGTCACATACAAGTCACATGAAGTCAAGTAGAGTCACATACAAGTCACATGAAGTCAAGTAGAGTCACATACAAGTCACATGAAGTCAAGTAGAGTCACATACAAGTCACATGAAGTCAAGTACAGTCAAGTACAGTCAAGTACAGTCAAGTACAGTCAAGTACAGTCAAGTACAGTCAAGTACAGTCAAGTACAGTCAAGTACAGTCAAGTACAGTCAAGTACAGTCAAGTACAGTCAAGTACAGTCAAGTACAGTCAAGTAGAGTCAAGTAGAGTCAAGTAGAGTCAAGTAGAGTCAAGTAGAGTCAAGTAGAGTCAAGTAGAGTCAAGTACAGTCAAGTACAGTCAAGTACAGTCAAGTACAGTCAAGTACAGTCAAGTACAGTCAAGTACAGTCAAGTAGAGTCAAGTAGAGTCAAGTAGAGTCAAGTAGAGTCAAGTACAGTCAAGTACAGTCAAGTACAGTCAAGTACAGTCAAGTACAGTCAAGTACAGTCAAGTACAGTCAAGTACAGTCAAGTAGAGTCAAGTAGAGTCAAGTAGAGTCAAGTAGAGTCAAGTACAGTCAAGTACAGTCAAGTACAGTCAAGTAGAGTCAAGTAGAGTCAAGTAGAGTCAAGTAGAGTCAAGTAGAGTCAAGTAGAGTCAAGTAGAGTCAAGTACAGTCAAGTACAGTCAAGTACAGTCAAGTACAGTCAAGTACAGTCAAGTACAGTCAAGTACAGTCAAGTACAGTCAAGTACAGTCAAGTACAGTCAAGTAGAGTCAAGTAGAGTCAAGTAGAGTCAAGTAGAGTCAAGTAGAGTCAAGTACAGTCAAGTACAGTCAAGTACAGTCAAGTACAGTCAAGTACAGTCAAGTACAGTCAAGTACAGTCAAGTACAGTCAAGTACAGTCAAGTACAGTCAAGTAGAGTCAAGTAGAGTCAAGTAGAGTCAAGTAGAGTCAAGTAGAGTCAAGTAGAGTCAAGTAGAGTCAAGTAGAGTCAAGTAGAGTCAAGTAGAGTCAAGTAGAGTCAAGTAGAGTCAAGTAGAGTCAAGTACAGTCAAGTACAGTCAAGTACAGTCAAGTACAGTCAAGTACAGTCAAGTACAGTCAAGTACAGTCAAGTACAGTCAAGTACAGTCAAGTACAGTCAAGTACAGTCAAGTACAGTCAAGTACAGTCAAGTACAGTCAAGTACAGTCAAGTACAGTCAAGTACAGTCAAGTACAGTCAAGTACAGTCAAGTACAGTCAAGTACAGTCAAGTACAGTCAAGTACAGTCAAGTACAGTCAAGTACAGTCAAGTACAGTCAAGTACAGTCAAGTACAGTCAAGTACAGTCAAGTACAGTCAAGTACAGTCAAGTACAGTCAAGTACAGTCAAGTACAGTCAAGTACAGTCAAGTACAGTCAAGTACAGTCAAGTACAGTCAAGTACAGTCAAGTACAGTCAAGTACAGTCAAGTACAGTCAAGTACAGTCAAGTACAGTCAAGTACAGTCGCATACGAGTCACGTAAAGTCACATACAGTCACGTAGAGCCATGTACAGTCAACACATAGTCACACTCACATACTGTCATGTACAATGCCAGACCTCATTCCCTCTACTGCACACTTGTTCCCAACACACAGCGCAGCCCATGAGTGAGAGGCGCAGTGAGAGGCACAGTGAGAGGCACAGTGAGAGGCACAGTGAAAAGCACAGTAAGAGGCACAGTGAGAGGCACAGTGAGAGGTGCAGTGAGAGGCGCACTCACCTTGGCAGCAGCAGGTGGCACCTTCACCTCCGCTGCCTCCTCCTGCAGCCCTCTGTGCAGCGCTATGCCGTGCATTATGCTGGTTGGGGGGGGGGAGAGGGGGGAAGAAAGGGGAAGATGGAAGGGGATGTGAGGGGAGGGGAGAAGGCGCACACAGCTGCTGACAAAGTGGGTGGCGCGCCTCACCTCCGCCACCTCCTCCTCCAGCCCTCTGTGCAGCGCTATGCCGTGCATTATGCTGTGGGGAAGGGAGGATGAGAAGGGGGGGGGATGTGAGGAAGGGGGATGTGCGGAAGGCGATGTGAGGAACGGGATGTGCGGAAGGCGATGTGAGGAACGGGATGTGCAAGGCGTTGCTTGTTGCCATACCGTGCATGATGGTGCAAGGGGAAGTGAAAGCGGGGTAGGGAAGAGGTGGATTGGATGGAAAGGAGGGGGAAGACGAAGTGGGTGGGTAAAAGGAATGGGCACGCCCTTTTCCACCCGCTGAGGAGGGAAGGGCATGTGTCCATGCATTCAACACACCCCCCTCCTCCTTGTCCGCAAAACCCCCTCCTTACCTACCAACAAGTTACAACAGAAATTAAAGGTCGAACGAGCCCACCTCTCAGCTGAAATGATAAGTTCGCCTCCCTCACTCTCTCCCTCATCCACCTCCCCTTCCCTCTCCTCCTCCCCCTCCTTCCTCTCCTCGTCCTTCCCCTTCTCTCTGCCCCCCTCCTTCTCCTTCGCCTTCTCCTTCTCCTTCGCCTTTGCCTTTCTCTCTGTCTCTCCTGTGCTCGTCTCCTCAGCTCCTCCCTTCGCCCCCTCTGCTGCGCCCTGCATGATGGCGTGCGCTGCTGCCAGCCCAACCACCTGCTCCGCCTCTGATGAAAGCAAAGGAGTGGAAGGGGACGAGGAGGATAGGAGCGGGCGAATGGAGGGAAGACAGACAGGTGTGAGAGGAGAGGAATGCACAACTGGATGATGGCGTGTGCTGCTGCCAGCCCCACCACCTGCTCCGCCTCTGATGATGCATCGGGAGAAGGGATGCGGAGTGGGGAGGGGTTGAAATGGGAAGTCGGAAGAGGGAAGGGAAAGAAGCGAACGCATGCAACAAGGCACGGTCTCCTGCATGATGGCGTGTGCTGCTGTCAGCCCAACCACCAGCACCGCCTCTGATGATGCACGGGAGTGATAGGAAACGAACGAGAATTTCTTGTTCGGTTCCTAAAACTCCCGTTTGTTGTTAGCAGAGCGCGGATTTCTTGCATGATGGTTGCTGCTGCCAATCCCACCAAACCACCTCTGGAGATGCAAGCAACAAGGGAAGAGGAGAGGAAGGAAGGGAGTAAGAAAGAAACGCCCCCCACTGCTCCCAAATACACATCCTCCCCTGCTCACCTTCTTCTGATAGAGGCTCGGCGAAAGTGACCTTGTCCAGGTCAGTGCAGGTGAGCTCGTTGGTTGCCATGACCTGATGGGGTGAGGGGGAGCGAGAATGGAGAGAGAAGAGTGGGAGGTGGGGCGTGTCTTGAGTGGAATCTGAACACAACTTGTCCAGGTCAGTGCAGGTGAGCTCGTTGGAGGCCATGACCTGATGGGCACATGGGGAGATGAGGCAGGGGAAAGGGGCGTGCAATGCAAGCACAGTCAACCCCGTGCAGTGAGGGTGTTTTTGAGACGTCTCAAAAACACCCTCACTGCACGTCACAGTCAACCCACGAATTATCGCCTTCACACAATGCTGCAGGCGATAGTAGGGAATTAAACAGAAAGAGCAAAACTAACTCGTGTTTTACTTTCAGCTCCCCCAGACCCCACCTCCCCCAGACCAGACCCACCTTCTCCAGCAGCTGGCGGTTGGCCAGCATCTGAATGAGCTGCACATAAAGTGAGACATTTCCTGAGGCGTCTCAACCCAGTGGCCCGCTTCCCCCCAGCCCCCACCGCCCCCACCCCACGCCAAACCTTCTCCAGCAGCCGGCGGTTGGCCAGCATCTGAATGAGCTGCACATAAAGTGAGACATTTCCTGAGGCGTCTCAACCCAGTGGCCTGCTTCCCCCCAGCCCCCACCGCCACCACCCCACGCCCCACCTTCTCCAGCAGCTGGCGATTGGCCAGCATCTGAATGAGCTGCACATAAAGTGAGACATTTCCTGAGGCGTCTCAACCCAGTGGTCCCCTTCCCCCCAGCCCCCACCGCCCCCACCACACGCCCCACCTTCTCCAGCAGCCGGCGGTTGGCCAGCATCTGCATGAGCTGTGCGTCTCGCTCCATCAGCTTCGCCCACACCTCTGCCGCCGGACCTGCCCTGGGCTGCCGAACCACAAAGCGGTTCGGAAACATGTCACTGAGCGGCTCCCAAGCCGTGCTGGCAGGCCCGGCGGCTGCTGCCGCCCCCCCCTGCCGCCCCCTCTGCTGCATCCTGGAGTCACAGCACGGCACAGATCGGGGGTGGGGGACGAGAAGTGGGGGGCAGGGAGACGAGAAGTGGGGGGCAGGGAAAACAGTAAGGAGAAGAGGCGATAGACACAATTGCAGAGATAAAAGAGGCAGACACAGGAAAATTCCACAAAGATTCAATTCAAGACAAGATCTCCCTCCCTCCTTCACTCGCTCTCCCTCCTTAACAATCCAAGCTATCACCACAGCAACTTACCGTCTGTCAGCTTGCCACTCCGCCGCACACCACCACCCCATCACCCTGCCTTCACCCTGTTCCCCTTCCCTCCCCCCCGTCACTCTGGCTGTCGCCCCGTCAACTTACCTCTCCAATCACTAACCGCATCTTTCCCAGCAGCACCAGGAGCAGCAGCAGAGGGGGATTCAGAGAGAGTCGCAGAGCCCACGAACACAATGGGCCCACCAGACGACTTAAGTGGAACAGACAGACAACGCAAGTGGGCACGCAGTCAATCGAGACGAGGTCTGGTCTACCTCTTCCCTCCCTCACTCTTTAATCACTCACCACATCTTTCCCAACAGCAGCACCAGAGGAGGATTCGGAGCGAGCGACAGAGCCGACAAAGACAATGCCCTCCCCCCAAGGCGACTCGAGTGGAGAAAGCACAAAGTGCACTGATGCATGCAGTTTACTAAAGAGAAAACTCCATCACTCCTACTCTCCGATCACTCACCGCATCTTTCGCAGCAGCAGTAGAGGAGGACTCGGAGCGAGCGACGGAGCCGACAAAGACGATGGGCCCCACCAGGCGACTCACACAGAGCAAGGAGTCGATGCAAAGGGGTATGCAGTCAATCAGGGCAAGAAACTCCTCTCTCTCCTGCAATCCAACCACTCACCGCATCTTTCGCAGCAGCAGCAGATGAGGATTCGGAGCGAGCGACAGAGCCAACAAACACGATGGGCCCCACCAGACGACTCATTTGCGCCTCAAACTGGGCCGCACTTGAGGAGGCCTCGGCCAATCGCGAAGCGTCGCGGATGAAGACGATGATTGGTCCACGTGGCAGCTCCTTCTCCAGCACCTGATTGGCCGGGCAGGCAAACAGATTCATCCCACGTGAGTGTGAGGAGCGCGCAATGATTGTGATGTGTATGAGTTGCTACCCTCAATAACGTACCCTCCACAATGCCAAAACTCAACCACACTACCACACATACATCCATGCCACGGTACCGTTCCTTGACATAATACCGCACCTACATCCCTGCCATGGCACCGAACCTACAGCCCTCCCTGCCACATTACCATACCTGCATGAGAGCCACGGTGGCTGGACACTCTTTCACACTGCTCGATGATTCCTCCAATAGCAGCTCAGATGCTGACGTGGCAGGGAGACACGGAAAAGCGGCGAAGCATGGAGATGCATGTGGTGAGTCAGGCAAGGGAAGAGTCCAGACAGAGGTGCAGCAAGGTGCAGAGTGTTGCAGACAGGTAACCAGTCTCACGGATAATAAAAGAGTTGCATGCGACAGCAGGTACCTCATGCACCCAACCCAACCCATGTGCAGCTACGAGCGCCCATGCGCAGCCACGAGCGCCCATGCGCAGCCAATTGCACGACACACCTGGATATACGACATGTGCAGCATCGGCCACAACAACCACACACCCCCCTACACGCACACGCAACCATCCCATCCCCATCAATCACCCCATCCCCATCCATTCAGGAACTCTGCGCTGCACCGCACAGCACCGCGTCGCACCGTAGCAGATGTGGCCGTGGCCGCCGTCACAGAGGCCGCTGAGGGAGTGACCTCCCGGCACGGGCGAGTCAAAGCGCACCCCCACCGTCTCATACGTCGCCACCACCTGCCCCGTTGCTCCCCTAGGGGGGCGGCTGGAGGAGCAAGGAGGGAAGAGAAGGGAGACATGTGAGGTGAGGCCACAAGCAGTGAGTCAAAGCGCACCCCCACCGTCTCGTATGTCGCCACCACCTGCCCTGTGGCTCCACGCCAGGGGCGGATGGAGGAGTGGGAAGAGAGAAAGCAGCAGACAAGGGAGAGTTGTGAGGACACAACCAGCAAGACACATGGCACCCCCACCGTCTCATACGTCGCCACCACCTGCCCTGTGGCTCCACGCGGGGGGCGACTGGAGGGATGGGGTGCGGAAGGAAGGGAAAGCAACAGAGTAAGGGCGAGGTGAGTGCACAGGCACCTCAGGTGTTGACTGACAGACGATGCTTGAGATGATGGTGCAATTTGACAGGCGAGTCAAATCGCATCCCTACCGTCTCGTACGCCACCACACCACTCACCCACCCACTTGCGTTGTGGCTCCCCAAGGGGATGACTGACTGGAGGGGCGAGAGGAAGAATGAGTGTTTCGGGGGAGAAGGGAGAGCTGAGTGCATCAATGGGAATGAATCTGTTTTTTTTTTAATTTCTCAAAAAACAGGTTCTGCTTAGAAAAACCAGTACTTCCCGCTGGAGAGGTGATTTTACGAGTTGACGACACACAGGTCGCCTTCGGCTTTTTCTTGCCCAGCCTGCACCCAACCTCCATCTCCCGGAGTTCCCGCCTAGCTAGGTTGCTCGCTATATCATCTCGTGCAAGTGAGCTAGGGAGAGGTGTGCGACGAGATGGTGCAGAAGAGCTGACTGTGCTCGCGATCAAAGCTCCATCTAGAGAACGCCACGCCACCTTAGTTGCGAAAGACGTGTCCTGCGTCTAAGACGGGTGCGTCCAGACGCAGCGTCTTAGACGCAGGACGCTTCTATGGGGCATGTGAGACGCTGAAAAAGACGCATGCCCGGGCAGGGCAAAAAGAACGCCCGGGCAGCCAAAAAAAAATCTCCCAGATGGTGCACACACTAACACTGCAAATGCAACTGCAACAAATGAGAGTTCCAGAAAACGCACCTGAATCTACAAGAGGCATCCGTGAAACACACACCTGGGGACAGGCACGTCTGTGCTGTAGCCGTCCACATTGACATAAGTGACACGGTCTCCTGGCAAGGCGAGCCACATTGACAAGACAAGGCATATGCACCACAAACACAACATGTCACATTGGCGAGTGAGTACTGTGCAAATGGAATTTATACAAACACACACACACACACAAATAATAATGTTAAAAAAAAACACCTCAGGATTCTTTTTCACCCACCTCCACCACACTCAAAGAGCTCACGCTTGAAAACTTTAAAGTCCCACAATTTTTTCCCAAGATTTTCGAGCAGCTGACTGCCCTGAAGACGCTACGCCTGATTACGCTCCTGCGGCTCAATACCTGCCCGCATCCCTTGGCAGTCTGAGGAGCGTCAAGAAGCTGAATATAGGGGAATGCAGCGGGCTGAGGCAGCTTCCAGACTCCCTCAGCACGGTGCGTTTCCCTATGCTCAGCTCCTTGATGCTTCTCAGGTTGACAAGAGACGCAGTGGAATTGCTGAGCTGCAAGAGTGTACTCAAGCGCAACATCTCCAGAGCAATCAGTTGCCTAAATTTTTTGGAAGAGATTGTGCGGCTCCAAGATTCTCAAGCGAGAGCTCGATAGCAAGGAATACGGAGGGAACTAGGTTGAAATGGTCAGACATGATTCAGCAGCCAAGACCAGGAAATGTGCGCCCACCCCCAACCAGCAAAAAGAACTCTCCTCTCCTCTCCCCTCCTTTCCTCTCCTCCTCTCCTCCTCTCCTCTCCTCTCCTCTCCCCTCCTTTCCTCTCCTCCTCCCCTCCTCTCCTCTCCTCTCCTCTCCCCTCCTTTCTCTCCTCCTCTCCTCCTCTCCTCTCCTCTCCTCTCCCCTCCTTTCTCTCCTCCTCTCCTCCTCTCCTCTCCTCTCCTCTCCCCTCCTTTCCTCTCCTCCTCTCCTCTCCTCTCCTCTCCTCTCCTCTCCTCTCCTCTCCTCTCCTCTCCTCTCCTCTCCTCTCCTCTCCTCTCCTCTCCTCTCCCCCCTCTCTTCTCCTATCCTCTCCTCTCGTCTCCACCCATTCACAATACTCTCCATCTACAAACCCCTCTCACAGGCAAACCTCCACCACTCTGACTCCAATTTCACCGCTCTCCACCCTAGAATCTTACCCACTCTCAACGCCCTAGTGGTCGCGCCATCCTCCTCCCCTCCCCCACTCCCAAACCCATACTCGTCCCCACCGCCGCGCCCCTCCCCCTCCCCCTCGCCGCTCTGAGAGTAAGCACCACTGTTGCTGTCCCCCCCTGCCCCCGTGCCCCCTGTGCCCCTGCCGCTGCCTGTGCCCAGTGTGTTTCCCACTGCCACCCCCACAGCCATCATTGCTGCCATCGCCACCAGATGCTTGGCCAAACTCGCGTACTGTGGGAGGAGGAATGGGGCGGAGGGAGGGGTAGTGGAAAGAAGGGTAGAAAGACCTTTGATGAGACATCTCAGAAGTTGTTCTCCCCACACCCACCCCCCCACAGCCACCCCCCCACAGCCACCCCCCCACAGCCACCCCCCCCACAGCCATCATTGCTGCCATCGCCATCAGGTGTTTCGCCAGGCTTGCGTACTGCGGGAGCAAGAGGGAGGGGTTATTGAAAAGAGGAGGGGAAGGTCAGAGACATCTGAAAAGTCGTGGTTTCATTGCTGCCACCCACCCACCCCCATGGCCATCATTGTTGCCACAATTGCCATTGCCATTGCCATTGCCATCATGCTTGGCCAATCTTGCGTACTGTGGGAGGAAGGAGTGGGGAGGGGCAGTGAAAAGTGGGAGGGGCAGTGAAAAGTGGGGGGGGCAGGGTCGCAAGTGACGAGTGGGAGGGGATTTGGATGAAGTGGGAGGGGGTGGTGAGGGTGAGATGGGTGCCTTAAAGTTCATTCATATGTGTGGTTGTTGCAGGATATTTCTTCAGGATCTCAAAAGGCAGTGGGGACCTGAAAAAGAAGAAAGACGTGCACAGCGGGCCGAAGCAAATGCGGATCTTTTGAGACGTCTCAAAACATCTCTTTTATCTCAAGGCGAGCATATTTGGCAAGTCCCACAGAGGAACAGAAAGAGATCAACGCAATTATTATGAGCGCGCCGTAGAGGTTTATGGCAGTTACGCTGCGGAAGAGAGGGGAAAGGATGGAACAGGAGGACGAGAGAGGAAAGGACGAGGAGAGGAAAGGACGAGGAGAGGAAAGGACGAGGAGAGGAAAGGACGAGGAGAGGAAAGGACGAGGAGAGGAAAGGACGAGGAGAGGAAAGGACGAGGAGAGGAAAGGACGAGGAGAGGAAAGGACGAGGAGAGGAAAGGACGAGGAGAGGAAAGGACGAGGAGAGGAAAGGACGAGGAGAGGGAGGAAGGACGAGGAGAGGAAAGGACGAGGAGAGGAGGAAGGAGAGGAAAGGACGAGGAGAGGGAAGGACGAGGAGAGGAAAGGACGAGGAGAGGAAAGGACGAGGAGAGGAAAGGACGAGGAGAGGAAAGGACGAGGAGAGGAAAGGACGAGGAGAGGAAAGGACGAGGAGAGGAAAGGACGAGGAGAGGAAAGGACGAGGAGAGGAAAGGACGAGGAGAGGAAAGGACGAGGAGAGGAAAGGACGAGGAGAGGAAAGGACGAGGAGAGGAAAGGACGAGGAGAGGAAAGGACGAGGAGAGGAAAGGAGAGGAGAGGAAAGGACGAGGAGAGGAAAGGACGAGGAGAGGAAAGGACGAGGAGAGGAAAGGACGAGGAGAGGAAAGGACGAGGAGAGAAAGGACGAGGAGAGGAAAGGACGAGGAGAGGAAAGGACGAGGAGAGGAAAGGACGAGGAGAGGAAAGGACGAGGAGAGGAAAGGACGAGGAGAGGAAAGGACGAGGAGAGGAAAGGACGAGGAGAGGAAAGGACGAGGAGAGGAAAGGAAGAGGAGAGGAAGGGAAAGGGGGGTTGGGGGGAAGGGGGGTGGGCGAAGCAGCGTGTAAAAATATTATTTTTTAGACGTCTCAAAAATAATCTTTTTACACGTGGCGAAGCAGGGAGGAAAGGAGGAGGGGATGAGGCCGGGAGGGGCATCACAGGGAAGTGGGGGGTCAAGGGAGGGTACAAGGCGGGGAGGGTGGGGCAGAGAGGGGTAGGGAGCTTACGAGGGGCGAGTCAAGGGAGTCGGAGAGGCCTGTAGAATCGAGTGAGTCGCGCGGCTTGTCTGCTGCTGGCCTCCTCTTAGGCACTGATGACATGTCCGCCTGCACCCCCCCATGAACACACACACCAAGCCATATCACGCTCACATGCCAGTCAGCTCACCACGCCACACCATAACACGCCCGCGCCACGCCACGCCACGCCACGCCACGCCAATGCAAACACCGGCAGTGGGGACATGAGTGAGTGAATGGCATGGCAGGGAAGGTGGGGCGGGAAGGGGAGGCGGGAAAGGGAGCGGGGGATGGAGATCATAAAACACACGCTCTCTCGCAAGCTTCACTTGCTTAGAATACTCCACCATCTTCGCGGGTTACTTACGTTGGGCAGCAACGAGTGCGCGCGCGGGCTAGTCAAGGAGGCGCAACAGAGCAGCACTCACAGGGGTGAGGAACTTGTCAGCATCTACAGCATTACCTTTTGAGGCGCCAAGAGTCGGTGCAGAGCAGAGCAGCACTCACAGGGGTGAGGAACTTGTCAGCATCTACAGCATTACCTTTTGAGCCGCCAAGAGTCGGTGCAGAGCAGAGCAGCACTCACAGGGGTGAGGAACTTGTCAGCATCTACAGCATTACCTTTTGAGGCGCCAAGAGTCGGTGCAGAGCAGAGCAGCACTCACAGGGGTGAGGAACTTGTCAGCATCTACAGCATTACCTTTTGAGGCGCCAAGAGTCGGTGCAGAGCAGAGCAGCACTCACAGGGGTGAGGAACTTGTCAGCATCTACAGCATTACCTTTTGAGGCGCCAAGAGTTGGTGCAGAGCAGAGCAGCACTCACAGGGGTGAGGAACTTGTCAGCATCTACAGCATTGCCTTTTGAGGCGCCAAGAGTCGGTGCAGAGCAGAGCAGCACTCACAGGGGTGAGGAACTTGTCAGCATCTACAGCATTACCTTTTGAGGCGCCAAGAGTCGGTGCAGAGCAGAGCAGCACTCACAGGGGTGAGGAACTTGTCAGCATCTACAGCATTACCTTTTGAGGCGCCAAGAGTCGGTGCAGAGCAGAGCAGCACTCACAGGGGTGAGGAACTTGTCAGCATCTACAGCATTACCTTTTGAGGCGCCAAGAGTCGGTGCAGAGCAGAGCAGCACTCACAGGGGTGAGGAACTTGTCAGCATCTACAGCATTACCTTTTGAGGCGCCAAGAGTCGGTGCAGAGCAGAGCAGCACTCACAGGGGTGAGGAACTTGTCAGCATCTACAGCATTACCTTTTGAGGCGCCAAGAGTCGGTGCAGAGCAGAGCAGCACTCACAGGGGTGAGGAACTTGTCAGCATCTACAGCATTACCTTTTGAGGCGCCAAGAGTCGGTGCAGAGCAGAGCAGCACTCACAGGGGTGAGGAACTTGTCAGCATCTACAGCATTACCTTTTGAGGCGCCAAGAGTTGGTGCAGAGCAGAGCAGCACTCACAGGGGTGAGGAACTTGTCAGCATCTACAGCATTGCCTTTTGAGGCGCCAAGAGTCGGTGCAGAGCAGAGCAGCACTCACAGGGGTGAGGAACTTGTCAGCATCTACAGCATTGCCTTTTGATGCGCCAAGAGTCGGTGCAGAGCAGAGCAGCACTCACAGGGGTGAGGAACTTGTCAGCATCTACAGCATTGCCTTTTGAGGCGCCAAGAGTCGGTGCAGAGCAGAGCAGCACTCACAGGGGTGAGGAACTTGTCAGCATCTACAGCATTACCTTTTGAGGCGCCAAGAGTCGGTGCAGAGCAGAGCAGCACTCACAGGGGTGAGGAACTTGTCAGCTATGTTGCACTATACGCTTAGCCTGTTTTCCGTTTCACGTTTATGCGTTCACGTATAAATGCAAAAACGTGAAACGGGGACAAAAGTGCGATACGAAAATTCGGGCAGACAAAAAAAAAACGCGCTTTTCCCGTACGCACGTATACCGACATTTCGAGTCGCGTTTTTTCCAATCAGGGGATGTGCAAAACCGAGTCGCCACGTTTAGCCCACGTAAATCAACATTGCCCTCTCACCCCCCAACAATTCGTGACCAACCACAGCACGTCCTCCACCCCCCAACCAATATGTGGTAAGTACAATTCACCCCAACCAGTCAGTGCAGAGCAGAGCAGCACTCACAGGGGTGAGGAACTTGTCAGCATCTACAGCAATGAGCCGTGCGTTGAGCTTCCTGGCAATGGCTCTCACTAACGTGTCCTGATACACCTCACTGCCTGCTCGCACATGCAGCAGAGCAGACAAGGGAGTGGGAGGTGGGGAGAAGTGGGAGAGCAGAGAGAGCAACAAGACACGCGCGTTGAGCTTCTTGGCAATGGCCCTCACCAATGTGTCCTGATACACCTCGCTGCCTGCTTGCCACACAAGAGACAAGGGAGGGGGGGTTGGAGGTTACGAGGAGAGCGGAGGGAAGCATGAGGCGAACGTTGAGCTTCCTGGCAAGAGCCCTCACTAGCGTGTCTTGATACACCTCGCTGCCTGCACGTGCAAGAAGGGGGAGAGAGGAGAAGAGCACTTTCTTAACTCGCGTGTGTCCTACTCCTCCTGTCACACCTCGCTGCCTGCTCCCACAAAGCAGATAAAAGTGGAGGGATCAGGGAACAACAGAGCAAAACGTTTCAGCTTTCTGGTGATGGCCCTTACCAAAGTCTCCTGATACACCTCGCTGCCTGCGTGCGCGCAGACAGCAGGAGGGAAGGAGGAAGGAGAGCAGATGATGATACCGGTCACAGCATTACCAGTGTGGCCTGATACCCTCATGCAACTATAACTCTGACGCATGCAGAGCAGAGTGACCATCGGTACCCTGCGACAACTGGACCCTGATGCAGGCTAGCTGCGTTCACCAGATGAACGGTCATGACTCTTGAAAGGCTAGCTGAAGTGCAGCTAGCCTTTCTCTGTGGCAATCGCGTCACTGTGTTGTCCGAAGCCAGCTCTGTGGTTCGGTTCGGGCCGGGGCTCACTCACCGGGAGGTCCGGAGAGGAGGATCCAGTTGCTGAGGTTGGGAAAGCAGGCGACGAACTTGGCAAGGCGCGTGCGCTTGAGATGCACGAAGAAGGACGCGAGCAGGTGCTCCTTGGCGTGGTTGCTGCGAGGGAAATGGTGGGGGGGAGGGGGGCGGGGGGGAGACGGGAAGGGGAGAGGAGGGGGAAAGTGTTGGGGTGGAGGGAGGAGGAGGGAGCGGGAGAACACACGAATTTGGTAACTGAGTGGACCAGGGGTGCTCCCTGGTGTGGTTGCTGCGAGTGGCATGGGGAATAGATGAGAGAAGAGAGGGGACGGAGCGGTAGAGGAGCGGGGGGCGGGGGAGGGGGGGAGGGAAGCGGGGGAAAGAGGGGAGGGGGGGAAGGGGGGAGAGTCACGAGAGGAAAAGTCAATGAAAAGCATGAGATCAAAAGACAGGCACAGGGTACCAGTGGGGTTCGGGTGAAAGGGTTTTGGTTTAGCAAGGCCCCCACCACAAGGCACGTCATGTCATGTTGTTGTTGTAAGGGCTTTTGCCTAATGCACGCCGTACCTGATGTGGTATGGAGATTTATCCACATGCATTCCGTACCTGACGTGGTACGGAGAGTTATCCGCACCGGCTGTACCATACCTGATGTGGTAGGGGAACTCATCCCAGTCAATATCAAATTCCTTGCCATCGAGCAGGGCTGCTTCAAACTCCTCCCTCAGCAGCTTCAACCCCGCTGCTGCCTCCGCCGCTTCCCCCGCGTCCCCCTCCTCCCCCATCTCCGCCTCGTCCCCCGCTTCCCCCTCCGCCAACTCCTCGTCGTCTTCCCCCGGATCCCCATACTCCCCCTGTCCGCCTTCCCCCTCCCTGCCTTCCCCCGCCTCCGCGACCTCCTCCGCTGATTCGAGGATTGCGTCGTCCCGCTTCCGCCGGCCGCGGCGGCGGAGGAGGAGCGCGACGCCTCCCGCGAGGCTCACGGCGATGGCTACGGGGAGCTGCGCCATGGCTGACGGAGTGCCACGTGGAGGATAAGGAGGAGCAGGCAACGCCACGTGGCGGATAAGCGGAGCGCGAGTCCTCAGAAGGAGGCGGACAGACCTGACAGAGGCCTTATGACTGAACGAGTCTGAGAATTCGAACTACCTCCTAGCGTGGATGATCTTATAACGAGTATATCCTGATAATGAACACTGCCAGACTGTTTCAAACAGAAAAGTCAGACGCGCGTCGTGACTATAACGGTGGAGCTACTATCAAGGACCTCACGAGCGAGGATGAAGTGATCGGCCCGCCTAGCGAGGCGACGAGAATGGCATCGGTAGGGCGGCGAATAAACTTCAAATTGAACCTATCACAAGACGCAACAGCTGCGATCATCAGAGGTTACAAGACGCGCCATGGACGAAACGCCAACGCCATCAGACTCGTCCTAATATTCACCTCCACGAGGACGAGTCTCTACGATGTCCGGTCGGGACGTCGGACGACGCAGTGACTAGCATGTTATCGACGAACAAGCATGTTACCGCAGGTCTATCCAGCGGTGGAGCGAGTCGAGAGCACCAGCAAATGATAGACTAGCGAGAATACAAACAAATCGGATGCCGCTGGTGAACGGATGAGTCCGCTTATCAAGGCGCTTGCCAGAATAACACGCTTCCGCATCGACGCAGACAAGTGCGATAGGTGACGTTTAGAGGCGGAGATTTCGAGGAAATGTGAATACACCTGGGCTCCACTAATTTCAAGGCCCGAAATTGGGCGCTCGCGGGTAGTTACCCTTATTATGTCTGGGACCAAGGGCTGTACAGAGTGAAACATATTTTGAAGTAGTGGGAGTTTCGGACTCCTTGTGAGGACAATGACGCAACGAAGGTCGCAACTAGAAAATTTTCCCGTCAGAGTGGGTTGTAAGCCTGATCCACTGAGGGACTTATGTTTTAAACAAAAGTTGAGGAGGCGTCCTCAATATCGTTCAGATTCTGGGTGTCTGAAAGATACGGCCGAATCTGGTTTAGGGTGTCTCTGAAATTTTTTTCCAGGGCTTGAAATTAGTGGAGCCCAGGTGTAGCACATGCACCTTACTCGAAAGGCGGGTCAACCCCACAAGAGTTGGGTCAGCTGGAGGCAATAGGGAGAGCCATGGCTGAACGGACGGACGCGCCACGGGAGAGTGAAGCCGTGGGATGAACTCAACAAGGCTGACACTCCTTGTTACATTCGTAAGCTGTCGCTTGCATTTCGTCACGTGCCGGAAGTTTTTCGCGAGCACAGTTAGTACCAGCTGGTTCGACTTCGTGACCGTCGCTACATCCTAGTAACGAGGGCGCAGCAGAGAAGGCTCTGGAAAGTGTGACGATCACACAAACTACACCATTATCTTTCTGTTGGCTGGTTACACTACATTACTAGCAGATGTAGGTGACAGGCAGAGTCCATACAAAATATATGCGCCAATTTAGCTCAAACACTGGATTCACTTTGGCTTAGCCTAGCTAGTGACCTGCAGTACACTCTCGCCTGTTCTGAACCATAAATCACATGTGAAATCAGGTATCCAGTCATAATCTTGGAACCTGTGCTGGATCTCGGCTGCTATGCCAATCATTACTAGGCTCCTCTCAACAAGCAATACTTACATCAGTTGATCCTGGTGGTGGTGGTGACACTGAACGATAATGACGATTTCATGCACTTGTAATATACCACATCACTCAGACCCGTCAGAATTCACTGCTCCCTACAGCTTTTGGAAGTAAGAAAGGGGGGCGTTGACAAGCCTGTCCAACAATTGCTCGAACTTGCTGTCACTCACTTGGATCAAAGTGCTTAAACTGATTTCTGCAACGTTCGACCCACCCTCAAGCCCCTGTCTCTCCCTCTTCCTCACACCTGATAAAGAATCGTTTCTTTCGCCGACTAAATGGCCGGCACCAGCGTCACCACCCTTGCCCTCGCACACATCATCTCTTCCCCCACAACCATTGCTCTCTTCCTCTGAAGCACCACTCCCACCACTCCCTCTCTCCCCATCATCCACACACCGAGGCAGGCACACAATCCCTCCACCTCGCTCCACCACCCTAATCCCCGAATCCCTCACCCGCTTTATCCTCGGTCTAATCCTCTGCTCCAAGCTATAGCAAGCCACGAGTGGCACGGCCACCACAGCCGCCTCTGACAGCCCCAGCTCGCGCCGAAAAAAACTCCGCCTTGGGAGCAATGTTGCTCTTCCAGCTCAGGTGCAGCAGAGCAGGGTACCGCTCAAAGAGACTGGAGAGTTCCGAGGGGGAGAGCCGAGGGAGAAGCGCTCGCCAGTGGTTGAAGTTTGAAAGCATGGTGGCGGAGTTGGTAGCGAGGATGCTGGAGCGTTTCTCGACCACCTTTTGGGCGTTTTCCTGCCCGCCGACGATCTTGCAGAGGGTGTGGAAGGTGGAGATCATCTTGCTGGCTGAGTGCGCTGGCAGCCGTCGGATCTGCCGGAAGATTTTCCTTGCGAGCGTTTCTGACCCTAGGATTAACTGGAAGGCGTCGAGTTTGGATTGGAGCTCTGAGATTGGCTGGGTGAGGATGTACGGCTGGCGCTGCACAATGGTGCTGACGTGGCCCTCGCCTGCTACGTGTGCAAGGAAATCTAATCTCTCCTGAACCCGTTCGGATGATAATTGCAGCAGACGTGGGCAGGCTTTGATGATGTATGACATGTCCTTGATACCCATGTTCAACAGCTTCTGGACACGTGGCTGCAGCTGAGTGGTCACATCGAACGCGAAAGCGCGCGGAAATCTCCTCAGAACCATTCCAATGCTCTCTCCGTCGGTCAGCCCGAGACCGTTGAGGTAACGCACGACCTCCTTTATTTTTTCCGCGGGCTGCCCGAGCCACACTGAATCGTACAGCGCGCCGAGCGCCATGTCGCGCGGAGGCACACCGCACGCCAGCAGCACGCGCACACCCGGGAGGATCTTCTCCGCCATGCCGCTCCGCGCGAGCCCCGGGCGCGAGCGCAAAACGCGGCGCACTTCGCGGTCGTCCATCCCCCACCCGCGGAAAAGATCTAGCAGGTCCGTTGGGACTTTGTCGATCGAGACGATCGTGGTGAACGACGATTGCGGGTCATGCGACGTCGTCGCATCTGCGTCATGCGACGGATCGTGACTCGCGATCGGGTCGTCGCCTGTCGCTGACGTGGCTCGCCTCGTCCCCTGCGACGCGGGCCGGCTGTGCCATAACCTTCTGCCGTCAACGGCTCTCTCGGCTTCGAGCCGCGTCAGCCGTGCAACTGCTACCGTCCTCACGGGACTGAGCCCAGCACCTCGCGTCTTGGCGAATGGGATCGTCGTCCGACTCGCGGAAGTGTCGCGACTAGCGACAACGAATTGCCGCAAAGGTCCCCACGAGGAGAAATGAACAGCACGACTCCCAGCTCTCGCAGCACACGCATGATCCTTCACATCCCTCGCAGAACTCGCATGGCTGTATTCACTCAAATCGCGAACCGCAACGTTATGGGAAGCACAAAACGCGGTCTGATAGGCCACGGGGGCGGAGGTGGACGAAACGGCAACAACAGGCGGGGTACGATCGAGTAGGCAAGTCAGCGCCGCATGTCGCGGACAATCAAGATGGATACCGACGAGACAGTCCGCCGCGCCACGAGCTAATCGAATGAGGCCTTTCCCGCGCTCCATTGCCGTCGATTTCAGCGCAAGAGGAGACTAGCGGCGCCGAAGCACATGAATTTCGCGTGTGAATGTCAAAGGCGTGACATACATGCGCGCGGCGCTTGGAGGAAGCTCTCCGCGTTGTCCGCCTAGGGAACAGTTTCTAGGTGCTTCGAGGATTGTGCTTCGAGGATTGAGATTCGAGTGCCTTGTGGTGAAAGGGTGGGGTCACAAGTCGTGTGTAGATGTTGAAAAGGGGAGGTAACGGTTCAAGACGGTTCAGTGGAATGACCGCTCTAAAGTGTAGAGAATGGATCAGAAAGTGAAGGGTAATTACCTCCTGGGTAACCAGCATCGAGCCCGCTGACGTCCGCAGTACGCCACGTGGCTCGATGGTACCCATCAGATTATCCGATCCCCTTCGTGGTACCCAATATCCCTGCGTGGTACCTTTTGTCCCTACGTGGTCACAGTCAACACTCATCAATTTCCCTGACTGGTACCACGACATTTCAACCGAACCCGTACACAGTACAACAAGGTTTGACTCAGCCATAATGCGATTTTCAGTATATTGAACTAGCGTTTACAAGCTCCAAAGGGGCAGAACCCGAATTGGTACCCAATCGGGTAAATATGCCAAACGCAATATGTGTCAAGAAAACGGTACAAAAAAATATATTAGCGTGCAGAGAAATCTAGGTGCAAATTCCTAGAAATTGCAATATTTTTTTCCAGTAGTGCGATAATAGAATATAATATATGTTGGCACTTAAGCGTGTTATTTTTAGCTAATTTTTTAAAGAATAGAGAAAACATATCGCGTTGAGACTATATAGGTAATAGTAAGCCAGCATTATTAATATATGATAATAAACAAGTATTGTTTTTTTATACCTACTGTATCTTCAAATGCAGAAAATTGTATCTATAGGAAATGTTTTTTCGTATCTTAGGAACATAGAAAAAGTCTAAAAAATTTGTTGACAAATAATATATAAAAATATCTTTGTAAGCCCAAAAGTGGAAAACAATGAAACTTATTTTGTAAGGCCGTACGCAGATGATTTTATCTCCGTATTCTATGGTTTTGTTAGAAGCAAAAAAAATGTGTATACATTATGCATTGAATATATTTGTATTGTGCAACTGCTTTCTTGTGAACGCTGATGCTAAAAGTCAACTTTTTGGTGACTAACATTTTTATATCCAATATATTTTGAGTTTTATCAGTTTGTTTTGATAATTTCTGTGCACTCTGTTTTCCTTATGTTTTCGCGTTTAGTATTTACATCTTACGTTTAGCCTATTAGCCCGATTAGGTGGCATCTCGGGTTTCTATCTCCTTGGAGCTTTTAAACGCTAGTACAATATACTGAAAATCGCATTATGGCTGAGTCAAACCTTGTTGTACTGTGTACAGTTCGGTTGAAATGTCGTGGTACCAGTCAGAGAATTCGATGAGTGTTGACTGTGACCACGTAGGGACAAAAGGTACCACGCAGGGATAATGGTACCACGAAGGGGATCGGATGATCTGATGGGTACCATCGAGCCGCGTGGCGTACTGCGGACGTCAGCGGGCTCGATGTTGGTTACCCAGGAGGTAATTACCCGAAAGTGAATTATCATGCTAGTTTCAGCAGCAAGGAAAGGAAAGGACCTGATGTTGTGGGAATAATATTCCATTAGAAGTTTTTACAAGTAGCATACAATAGTACATACGGTATGATTGGAAACAATACATCATTTTGTAAGCACAAAACGACAACTCAAGGCATCACATGGCTAAGCATAGCTAGTGAAGCAAACAAGCCTTATTGAAGGTTGCTTTATCAGGCAACAGATCAAAACTGGCCCGTAATCGTTCATGACACCCGACGCCAGCGACGAGGATGGCAGAGAAAAGTCATTCATGTCAAAAGGTCGTTACACTTGCTCCAATTGTCCTCCTCACCTCCCCTACACTGCTATCTCTAACCCCAACATAGAAGAGTGAGGGATTAGAGAAAACCCCGGCGTCAATCAGCTGCTTGAGTGGGCTGACAGGCTGGTAAAGTGAAGTGAGTGGAGTGGAGATAAAGGAGGTGCAGTTCCACGTGCCCTTTGTTGTGTCCGCCCGAGCCTTGCAGGGAATGTAGCCCACGAGGGACTTGGTGCTGATTGAGAAGAATTTGGGATTGGTGAAGCTTGGTGCAGTGGAGCCAGTTAGGCCCGCAATGCTGAAGACGAAGGAAATATTCTGGCGCTTATCCGTGCTGCAAGGGGAGTGGACGAGGGAGGGGGAGCGTGGAGGGAAGGGGGAGAGGAGGGTGGTTCAGGGGGAGTGAGACATGCAAGAGCATGATGAAAAATTCTGTTCTGCAAGAACAGAATGGCAACGATCAGTTGCGGTTGTGCCACTACAAATATAGCATTTGCTGCTTCTAGTGTGTAGCTTCTACTGAAGTCCTGAAGTAATCACTCGACAAGTGAGATATGTGACCAAAGAAAGAATCAATGTGCTGTGGCGCTTACACATCTGCACGCAGGGAACACGTGCCATCCAAAGCACGAGGGGTCGAGAGAAGTCCCCACGCTTCGTCTGTGTGGCAAGGAAAAGTACACCCACAAGATGTTGTCGGTAGACTGAAAGAAGGAACGGAAACTGGCGGAGGCTAACGAAAACACGAGAAGAGATGCAAAGGAAGCACGAGAGGAGATGCGACTGAAGCACGAAAACATAAGCGAAAGAAGCACGAGATCATCCAGCAATAGGACCATTGCCCTTCCAAACTTGTTGACAGCGCGACCTACAGCGTTTGTTATTGCTTTGGAGCATATGACGGGGCCACGTGATGGCGCTGCAGGAGAGCGAGAGCAGCACTGCAGACAGAGAAGGACGCGCGGAAAAGATTAGGGTTAAGTCGCTTGATAGTTTCAGCCAGACGCTTGCTGGATGTGTATGTTTAGAAAAAAAAAAAAAAGGAATGCTCCAGATGTGTGAAGATTAGCCGACATACAAACAGAATCTGCCTCATATTCGCAGAGCAGACGAGCAAACTCAGCATGAAGCAACACTTGCACAGCGACTGTCAAGCAAGACCGTCAAGCAAGACCGTCAAGCAAGACCGTCAAGCACGAACATCAAGCACGGCCGTCAAGCACGACCGTCAAGCAAGACCCTCAAGCAAGACCGTCAAGCAAGACTGTCAAGCAAGACCCTCAATCTAGACCGTCAAGCAAGACTGTCAAGCAAGACTATCAAGCACGACCGTCAAGCAAGACTGTTACTGCGAAGGCGATGTGGGTAGTAGTCCCGCGTGTGGTGGCTAGCTGATGCACTCCCGCTAGCGCGCGATCATTCCCCTGTGGAACGACTACTAGTGGCCGAGGCGACATAGCAACAGGGATAGCGACATGAGAGGGCGGCGACGAGGCGACATGACAAGGCGAGGAGGCGACATGACAGGGTGACGAGGCGACATGACAAGGCGAGGAGGCGACATGACAGGGTGACGAGGTGTTACAAGTTGGGATTTGCCATGTGAATCCACAAGGTTGCTTGGCTAGGAAGGAAGCTTGTACCTCTTACCTTCTAGATCTATCCTAGGCATATTTGGCGGTATTAATGGACGTGCTGAAGACACCAGCCTTGAGGCAGCTTAATAGGGTTTGTTGTGTACAGTGAGAAGCGCCATAGCATGAAAGCATGGGCTTCATTGAGACTATGCACACGGAAATGACTTATCTAGTCTTCCACCCTATGGTTAGAAGCTGTATGTTACCGCAAGGGCTGTAGTATGGGCTGCAGCTGTATGCCTACATCCCTCTCATCTACTCTAAACGCTCTCCTCTGAAGCTTGAAGACGAAGAACGAAGAGCAAGTTCATCTTGTAAATACTTTCTGTTTTGCATCTCTAGGAAATTTTGTATATATTTCTTGGATTTAGACCAGTGATTAGTTAGCATGGGTAAGCATCGAGACGATGCTTCGTGGGGAGGGGAATTATGTTATAAGTTGGGATTTGCCATGCCTGCGTGCATGGGAATACTCGAACGGTAGAAACCTCCCTTTGCCTTGGTAGCTCCGAATAGAGATAGGTGTTAACCTCGGGGCATACTCTCGTATCCTTGTCATGCTACTAGAAGTTACTACAGTCCAACAGAGTATGGGATCGTGGCGCTATGCCAAGATGCCATGCTGAAAGCTTGGCGACACGGTCTTTCCTTACGAGCTGCGTTGCTCTCTCCTAGCACAAATATAGTTCTCTGAATCTTGTTGTACAATCCTTGGATCTTCTATTCTAAGATTTCTCTTCTTGTCTCTTCTTTCTCTCTTAGCTACGTGTCAGAGGTCCACTGGAGATCCCCGATGATCCTAGGGAAGGGTTACAGGCACGTCGGCCTGGGGGGTTATGGGCGCACTCACCCGCTACTATAACAAGCCCTTTTATCCCAGTGGTTAGTGGCTGGGATTCTGACATGGTATCAGAGCGAAGGTCTCGGGTTCGATTCCCGGTGTGTGCACTTCGGGCATCCCAGTGCGGGGGGGTGTCAGAGGTCCACTGGAGATCCCCGATGATCCTAGGGAAGGGTTACAGGCACGTCGGCCTGGGGGGTTATGGGCGCACTCACCCGCTATATAAACAAGCCCTTTTATCCCAGTGGTTAGTGACTGGGATTCTGACACTACGGCGCTCTGTCTCCTTAAGTCGCGCCGCGCAGCAGTAGCGCCGTAGCCCTGTTTCACGAGGCGACATGACAAGGCGAGGAGGCGACATGACAGGGTGACGAGGCGACATGACAAGGTGAGGAGGCGACATGACAGGGTGACGAGGCGACATGACAAGGCGAGGAGGCGACATAACAGGGTGACGAGGCGACATGACAAGGCGAGGAGGCGACATAACAGGGTGACGAGGCGACATGATAATGCGACGGACAGGGTAACGAGGCGACACGATGACAGGGCGACGGGGCGACGTGACAGGGGGACATCGCAGGGCAGCGCGACTACACGACCATACGACGAGGCGACACGACAAGCTGTCGGGGCGACATGAGAAGGCGACGGGGCGACATGACAGGGCAAGGCGGCAGGGCGACGTGACATGTCAGGGCGAGGAGGGAAGACAGCAGGCGACGACGCGTCATGGCAGGGCGCGTCACGCGCGCGGTAGGAGCGGTGGGATCACCAGCTACGACGACGGCGAGGCGCCTAATGTCGATCGCGAGGTGACTTTTCAGTCTACTCGAAAGTCACATATGTCAGGGCGCGGCGTACGAGTGGTGGGCTCACCAATGGCGGCGACGGTGAAGTGTTTAACGTCGAGCGACGGCGAGCGAGAGAGTGTGGTCATCCGGGCCATGGCTGGATGAGCCGCGTGAAGCTCGGGGTTGCAAGTCGAACTTGGGGCGATCCCGGGAACAGTAGTGGAGTGGATGATAAATGTGACTTGTGAAGCACTTGGCTGAATGTGAGTCAAATGAAGACAGCAGATGCGTTGGATTGGATGTGTCAGAATGCTATTATTGTCTAGCCTGCAGTGGGGTACTCTATAGCGAGTACAGCCCAATCTAGGGTTTGCTATTTGTACTCAACTGCCTGCTAGTTCAAGGACTCTCTCTCCTTTCAATCATTCTTGCCTAGTTCTTCTCACATGCTATCAGAGCAGGTCGACCCTCCTGGGTCGATCCTGTGGGTGGGCCCACCACCTAAGCCTTCCGCTGCTACTGCTACTGCTACTGCTACTCCCTGTCCGCCGCGCGCCCCGTGGCGCGCGGCGTCGAAACTAGGGTTTTCAGCCCGCCGTGCGCCCCGAGGCACGCGGCGGTTTTCTGCCCGCCGTGCGCCCCGAGGCGCGCGGCGGTTCTCTGCCCGCCGTGTGCCCCGAGGCGCGCGGCGGGTTCCTGCCCCGTCACTCGGCACGTCGCCCCCGGGAGGCGCTGCGACGGGCGACGGGGACCCGCGCGTCGCCCCCCGTCGCCCGTCGTGGCCTGCGCGCGGCCCGTACACCCGGCACGCGGCCCGTACGGGCTGCGCCAGGCCCGCGCGCGGCCCGTACGGGCTGCGCCAGGCACGCGCGCGGCCCGTACGGGAAGCGCCAGGCCCGCGCGCGGCTCGGGCCGCCTGCGCGCGGTTCGGGCGGCTCTACCAGGCCCGTGGGCGGCCCGTTCCTCGCTGCTCCTGCCCTCTCCACTGTCCCCCGTGCTTCTACCGGCGCCTCACCCCTCCTACAGCCCGTTCTCCTAAATTAGGGTTTGGGGGTGAAGAGTGTGGGGGTGGCGGCTATGGGGGTGTCGGTTGTGAGTTCCTCCCCCTGCTCCTCCTCCTCCCTCGTCTCCCTCTGCTACAGCTGCCGCTGAGGGGGGTGGTGTGTGGGAGCCTAGGGTTTGGGGTTTAAGGGGGGTACCGTCGGAGTGGAGCTAGGGTGTCAGCAGGGGGTGTGTGAGAGGGGCGTGGGACGGTCGGGGGAGATTGCGTGGAGGTAGCCGTCGTGACGCCAGCAGCGCCAGTAGTCCGGATGCCCTCGCGCGTTTCGGTAGCCCAGCGAGCCTGCTTCGCCAGTCGCCTGTGGGTCCGTTGCTCCTGTGTGTGCTCGTCGTAGCCGCGGAGCCAGATACTCCCGTAGTCCGGTGCCCTCGTGCGCTCGGTAGCCACTGTGCGCGCCGCTCCTGTTGCCCGTGTGTCTGCAGCTTCAGTCGGCGCCTTTCATCTTCTCTCCTCTCGCCAGCCCTCCTCCTCCTCGCTTGCCCTCTGTGACTGCCTCTAGCTTTGCTCATAACTGTGAACTTTAAACTATTGCTTCTTGAACTTGTGCTCAGAATGTGTGGTGACATTGTGATCCACCCTGAGCTTGTACTGCTTTGCTTGCTCTGCTGATTACACCCCACTTTGGCTATGGGGGTGTGTCAGAATGTTATTATTGTCTAGCCTGCAGTGGGGTACTCTATAGCGAGTACAGCCCAATCTAGGGTTTGCTATTTGTACTCAACTGCCTGCTAGTTCAAGGACTCTCTCTCCTTTCAATCATTCTTGCCTAGTTCTTCTCACAGGATGTTCTACAAATGTGTTTGTCTAGGGAACGGAGGGCTCAGGTGGGCCGTACTGCGCCATGCGGCATTCGCGATTTCAGATATTCATGCACATTTGTGCCATTTGTTCCTCATTAAAGCTGCGGTATACATTTGGCAGGGCCAGTGCCAAAAGTTTATAAAAGGTACATGGTGGTTACCGAATTACAAGCCCAACCAACCCCTCTCTCGAGAAACGAGCGGCCCCCAACTCCTCCCAGCTCACTTGACTGTCAAAGTTTATAGATGGCAAAAGTATACTAATTCGTTTCCCCTGCAGGAACTCACTCACGTAGCATTCTTAGGGCGTGTTAAATCCCCGCACAATTCCGTGGGGTGTGGCCGAATTTTCGACGACCAAATGGTCGTCATATTTTTCGCGAACAACGACGAGGTGGCCGAATCAGGGTCGACTCATTTATAGCCACCATTTACAGTTTTGGCGATTTAACAACTTTGGGGGCCGATTTGCAGGCCGCTTTAGGAAAGTTGTTAAATTGGGGGTGGACAAATTTTGCGACGAGTCGCGCACATGATACAGTCTGTCGCAACGCAGTCGCAAACGGTTTGCGACTCGTTGCGACGCTGTCGCAACGACGCGACGGATGAGTGGCCGTTTTTAAGTCGACGCGACGACGACCAATTGGTCGACTTTATGTACGGCCATCAAATTCGTTATTTTTTTGCGAAAGAGTCGAAAAATGCGACAATATTGATAGTTTTCGTCATAGGGTTACTTTCGCCAACTCGGCCCGACGTTTGGAGCCAAAAAATCAATGTTGGCGATTTAAAGCCAGGATCTCAAGTAAAAGAAGTGCGCATCAACTGCAAAACAGTTGACGCTAGGGTCACCCTGTTTGAGTGGGCGAAGTGGAGTGACGGGTTTGGGGTTGACTGTGCGACACATTCCCCATTTTGCCCCTGATTCAATTGCAAAACAAATTGCTGGGGACTTGAGACTTTCGGGAATCTGAAACATTCTCTGGTACTTCAGCTTCGGCACCGAACCAGTTTCCATGCCTAGAAGGCTTGGAAACAACCTGCGACTTGTTTTTTTCTCGCACCCCTCGCTTCACTCCTCGTCAACTTCTGTACCTCGCCATCCAATCCCAGCCTAGCACTATTCACCAACTGCAAAACAGAAAAAGTACTTGAGATCCCGGCTTTAACACGCCCTTAGCGTGCGCTACTAGAATAGTCCTACCCACACCGTTGAAATTCGGAGCTTAGGGTTACGTCATACACCGAAGGTTGCGTCGGCGCCAGCGTTAGCCGAATACGCATTCATTCGTCGGTCGCCACTGCGTCGCCGTGTAGTTTCACCGCACTGCACGTAGAAATCCCGTTGCCTCCCCAGCCTAGAGTCGACCTTTGTTGCGTAATCCAGCCGCCGCATATCGCCTTTGCATCGAGCCCCTAGTAGCGTCCTCGCCCCACTGCAACTTGCTGCCTCGTTGGCTCGCCTCAAAGCCCATCGCGGCGTCGCCTCGCCACAAATCCGCTTGCGGCGTCGCATCGCCGCAAATCCGCTTGCGACGTCGCATTGCCGCAAATCCGCGCGCAGCGTCGCATCGCCGCAAATCCACGCGCGGCGTCGCATCGCCGCAAATCCGCACGCGGTGTCGCCTCGCCGCAAATCCCCGCGCATCGTCTCATACCACCAAATCCGCACGCGGAGTCGCATCGACGCAAATCCGCTCGCGGCGTCACCTCTCCGCAAATCCGCACGCGGCGTCGCGCCGCAAATCCTCTCGCACCGGCGCCTCGCCGCCCCACGCTGCCTCCTCACGCCATCGCGATCACGCAGGCCGCGCAACACACTGCGGGCCCTCGTGCGCCTCCCAATATCTTCAGTCCACTGCCCTCTCCCACTTTACGGCCTCCCCGATCTCCCATTACCGCCTCCCATTCTCCCCTTCAAACCTCCCCTTCTCCCCTTACCGCCTCCCTGCATCCACACCTCCTCTCACTGCATCCCCATCCCCCCTCCCTGCATCCCCATGTCCCCATTATCTCCCCATCCAACCCCATTCCGCCACTTACCTACCCGCTTCTTCTTCTCCGCTTCCCTGCCTTCCCTGCCTTCCCTGCCTTCCCTCCCTTTCATCTCTTCCCTCCCATCCTTCCCTTCCGTCCCGTCCCTCCCGTCCCACCCTTCCCTCCCGTCCCTCCCGTCCCACCCTTCCCTCCCGTCCCTCCCGTCCCACCCTTCCCTCCCGTCCCTCCCGTCCCACCCTTCTCTCCCTTCTCACGTATCCCTCCCTTCTCTCCCTGCGCTCCCTGCCCTCCCTTCCCTTCCTTCCCTCCCTTCTTTCCCTTCCCTCCCTTCTCTCCTTTCCCTCCCTTCTCTCCCTTCCCGCCCTTGTCTCCCTTCCCGCCCTTCAGTCCCTTCCGTCCCCTCCCTCCCTTCTCTCCCTTCCCTCGCTTCCCTCCCTTCCCTCCCTTCCCTCCCTTCTCTCCCTTCCCTCCCTTCTCTCCCTTCCCTCCCTTCTCTCCCTTCCTCTCTTCGCTCTCTTCCCTACCCTTGCAGCCTTCCCTCCCTTCCCTCTCTTACCTCCCCGCGATTTCCCTTCTCCTCCCGTCCCGCCGTTCTCTCCCTTCCCACCCTTCTCTCCTTCTCTCCCTTCCCTCCCATCTCCTCCCTTCCCTCCCCCTTCTCTCCCTTCCCTCCCGTCTCTCCCTTCCCTCCCTTATCAACCTTCCCAGCCTTTTCTCTCTTTCCTCCCTTCCTCCCTCCTTCCCTCCTTCCCTCCTTCCCTCCTTCCCTCCTTCCCTCGCTTCCCTCCTTCCCTCCCTTCCCTCCCTTCGCTCCTTCCCTCCCTTCCCTCCCTTCCCTCTCTTCCCTCCCTGCGATTTCTTTCCTCCCTTCTTCCCCCCCCCCCTTCCCCCACCGCCCCCATTGGCGCCAAACATTTTGGGCCGCCCCTTGTCCGGTCCCCTCCCTTTTGTTCATTCATAACACCCCGCCTTGCCCATCTCCCTTCCCCGCCTCCCCATCTCCAATATCTCCCCATCCCTTCTCGAGGTCCCGGGTCCCCATGACAGCTGCCGCCTCCCAATCTCCCCTTATTGCCTCCCAATCTCCCCTTATTGCCTCCCAATCTCCCCTTATTGCCTCCCATTCTCCCCTTATTGCCTCCCAATCTCCCCTTTTTGCCTCCCAATCTCCCTTTTTGCCTCCAGTCTCCCCTTATTGCCTCCCAATCTCCTCTTTTTGCCTCCCAATCTCCCCGTTTTGCCTCCCAATCTCCCCTTTTTGCCTCCCAATCTCTCCTTTTTGCCTCCCAATCTCCCCTTCCCGCCTTTCAAACTCCACTTCCGTCTTCACCATGGAAGCTACCTCCCTCTTCAACTCTCCTACCTCACTTTCTCTTTGTTTGGTCGTCTATTCCCTCCTTCCCTCCCCATCCTTCCCCTTCCACCCTCCCTCCGTCTAACACCTTCTCCTTCCACCTACCTTCTACCCGCATCTCCCCTTTTCCCCTTCCCTCCCATGCTTCCCCCTTCCACCCCTTCCCCGCCCCGTTTTCAGTGTTCCTGATTCATGTCGTGTCCCTTTGGCCACCGCCACTCCGCTGCTCCGAGTGTGGAAGAGTTAGGCGCTTGGGGCCGCTGGCATCATGCATCGTGATTTCACACCAGGAGAGTCGTCACATGACACTCCAACCATTCCCCAATCACCCACTTTCCCCCCCATTCCTCCCATTCCCTTCCTGCCCCCTTCTTTCGCCTCGACATCCCTCCTTACCTCCCTTCCCTCCCTTCCCTGCCTTCTCTCCCTTCCCTCCCTTCCCTGCCTTCTCTCCCTTCCCTCCTTTCATCCTTCCCTTACCTTCCATCCCTCCCATCCCTCCCTTATCTCTGTTCCCTGCCTTCCCTCCCTTCCCTCCCTTCCCACCCTTCCCTCCCTTCCCTCCCTTATCTCTCTTCCCTACCATCCCTCCCTCTATACCTTCCACTTTCTTCCATACCTTCCCTTTCATGCCTCCCATCACCTCTCCCTGCCGTCCCATCTCCCCGTCATGCCTCACCACCATCCCATCTCGTCCCCATCTTTCCAATCTTCTCCCATCGTTGCCGCCCCTCCGTCCCCTTTTCAAATCTTCTCCCATCGTTGCCGCCCCTCCGTCCCCTTTTCAAATCTTCTCCCATCGTTGCCGCCCCTCCGTCCCCTTTTCAAATCTTCTCCCATCGTTGCCGCCCCTCCGTCCCCTTTTCAAATCTTCTCCCATCGTTGCCGCCCCTCCGTCCCCTTTTCAAATCTTCTCCCATCGTTGCCGCCCCTCCGTCCCCTTTTCAAATCTTCTCCCATCGTTGCCGCCCCTCCGTCCCCTTTTCAAATCTTCTCCCATCGTTGCCGCCCCTCCGTCCCCTTTTCAAATCTTCTCCCATCGTTGCCGCCCCTCCGTCCCCTTTTCAAATCTTCTCCCATCGTTGCCGCCCCTCCGTCCCCTTTTCAAATCTTCTCCCATCGTTGCCGCCCCTCCGTCCCCTTTTCAAATCTTCTCCCATCGTTGCCGCCCCTCCGTCCCCTTTTCAAATCTTCTCCCATCGTTGCCGCCCCTCCGTCCCCTTTTCAAATCTTCTCCCATCGTTGCCGCCCCTCCGTCCCCTTTTCAAATCTTCTCCCATCGTTGCCGCCCCTCCGTCCCCTTTTCAAATCTTCTCCCATCGTTGCCGCCCCCTCCGTCCCCTTTTCAAATCTTCTCCCATCGTTGCCGCCCCTCCGTCCCCTTTTCAAATCTTCTCCCATCGTTGCCGCCCCTCCGTCCCCTTTTCAAATCTTCTCCCATCGTTGCCGCCCCTCCGTCCCCTTTTCAAATCTTCTCCCATCGTTGCCGCCCCTCCGTCCCCTTTTCAAATCTTCTCCCATCGTTGCCGCCCCTCCGTCCCCTTTTCAAATCTTCTCCCATCGTTGCCGCCCCTCCGTCCCCTTTTCAAATCTTCTCCCATCGTTGCCGCCCCTCCGTCCCCTTTTCAAATCTTCTCCCATCGTTGCCGCCCCTCCGTCCCCTTTTCAAATCTTCTCCCATCGTTGCCGCCCCTCCGTCCCCTTTTCAAATCTTCTCCCATCGTTGCCGCCCCTCCGTCCCCTTTTCAAATCTTCTCCCATCGTTGCCGCCCCTCCGTCCCCTTTTCAAATCTTCTCCCATCGTTGCCGCCCCTCCGTCCCCTTTTCAAATCTTCTCCCATCGTTGCCGCCCCTCCGTCTAGCCTGTCAGAAATAACTGAGCAGGAATGAATGAACTAGAACAGAGTTTGGTACAAGTAGGAAACCCTAACTTTGTGTACCCCCTAAGGTGTAACCCACTACAGCCTAGACAATATAAACATGAAATGTTTGACACACCCCCATAGGCGCAGTGGGAGACAACCACAGGGTCACAAGACCAGTCAAAGCAAAGTAAAGCAAGCTCAGGGTGGATCTCAAGGATTCCACACAAATTCCGAGCACAAGCAAGCGGTCACAAGACCAGTTCACATGCAGGTTTATAACAAAGCAAGAGATACAGTGATCACAACCTAGCAAAAGTAAACAAGTAGGCATATATATATAGTGATCACAGTACAAGCAAGGTCAAGAGGTAAGCAAGTGAGGCCCAGTAGGTACAAGGCCTAGTAGAGTGCAAAAGCGCTGATGGTCACAAGGCGGAAGCGCCTTGGTGAACACATCAGCAGTGTTGGCCTCCGTGGCCACGTAACGCAGACAAAGCTGACCACGCTGCTGCAGCTCTCGAGCAAGGAAGTAACGCAAAGCGATGTGCTTCGTTCTGTGCTCCAGTCTGTGCTCCTCACACAAGGCAATGGCAGCCTTGTTGTCGACGTACAGCACTGGAGGAGAACGAGGCCGCTCTCCGAGGTCGGTCAGCAGGTAGGTCAGCCAGCGTAGCTCCTGAGCAGCCATGGCTGTGGCGTAGATCTCAGCCTCACAACTGGAGCTGAGAACAGAAGAAGAGCGAGTAGAACGCCAAGAAACTGAGCCAGAGCCAAGGCTGAAGGTGTAACCCTGGGACGACCGCTGAGTAGCCTGGTCGTCCGCCCAAGAAGCGTCTGAGTGCCCTGTGAGAACAACCCGGTCTCGCCCTCCAAGCACAAGCCCCATGCCCGACGTACTGCACAAGTAGCGCAACACCCTCTTAGCAGCATCCATGTGCTCCTTCCGGTGACGGCCAGGAGCGACATAGCGTGCTAGGATGCTAAGAGGGTATGCAAGGTCAGGTCGAGTGCAGGTCATCAGGTACATGAGGCAGCCCACAAGCTCTGGATACGGGCCACTCGGCTCTACGGACTCATCCGAAGGCAGAGCTGAGAGCGAGTGACCGGTAGGCAGAGGAGTGGACTGAGGCGAGGAGTACGTGAAGCGGAAGCGCTGGAGAACCTGCTGCACCATGTGTGACTGAGTCAGGGTGATGGTGCGCCGTGCTCTGTCCCGGGTGATCCGCAAGCCAAGATAGCTCGTCAGCTCACCCAGGTCTGTGCACGTGTGTCTCCTCTGCAGCTCCGACTTCACGTGAGCGAGTGCCGCGGTGTCAGCAGTGGCAAAGACCAAGTCGTCGACGTACACGAGGATGTAGAACGGCGGCAGCGAGGTGTCGGTGCGTAGAAACAGCGACGGGTCAGCAGTAGAGGGAGCGAACCCAAGAGCCGCAAGTGTCGTCCTCAGTGTGTCGTGCCACTCACGTGGCGCCTGGCGGAGACCGTAGACCGGCCGCTGAAGCCTCCACTGGGTGCCAGGAGGAACTGACCCAGTGAAGCCAGGGGGGCGGCGCAGCCAGATCTCCTCGTGCAGGCTGCCCTGCAAAAAAGCAGTGCTGAAGTCAAGAGAGTGAAGCTCGTAGTCGCGGTGAGCGGCTATGTGCAGCAGCACCCGAAGAGTAGTCATCTTCGGGGTGGGGGAGAAGGTCTGGAAGAAATCAACTCCCTCTCGCTGACTGAAGCCTCGAGCCACGTAGCGCGCCTTGAAGACAGGTGGAGAACCCGGCGGCCGCTTCACCCTGAAAATCCACATGCCACTGACGATGTTCGCCCCAGGAGGGGGAACCTCGTCTACGTAGGTGCCTGTGGACTTCCAGGAGGCCATCTCTGCGTCCATGGCTGTCTGCCACTGAGAGGAGTAGGGACCCGCCATCGCCTCAGCGTAAGAGCGTGGGGTCGGGATGTCTGGTGCATCCGGGTCTCCCTCAGGGGCAACTAGCAAGGACACGAGACGGGGCAAAGCAGCAGCAAGGCAGTGGAACTCCTCCTGTCTGTCCTCAAGGACGTCCGTGCCGAGGGCACACTCACCCCCGACGGACGGAGGACAGGCAGACGCAGACTCAGACCTAGCGACAAGGCTGGCAGCGTAGTCTAGGCGACAGCGAGCAGCAAAGTCAACCAACTCAGTGACCAGAGCAGACGCAGCAGAGGACTCAAAGGTCGGGTCAGTGACAACTGTAGCGAGGAGACGCGTAACAGTGGGACTGGCAGCACGACGGGAGTCAGACTCCGGGTCAGGAAGAGTAGGAAGAGAGGACGCAGGAGGAGACGGCAGCGGGACACGCTGCGGAGCAGTGGAGGGACGCAGAGTCATGTAGTGAGTGCCAGGGACAGGAGGAGGACGCTCACGTGGGACACGACGACCAGTGCGAGCAGTACGAACAGGCGACGCAGGACGAGACTCAGGCTCACGACGCTCTGTAAGACCTCCTGTGGGACCAGCGTAAGGGGAGGGAGCAGGGAGAGGCGAGACAGGCGGTAACTGTGACTGCGGCTGGACAGGCAGAGGACACTCGACGGAGGGAGGAGGACTAGGAGGAGGAGCCTGACCAAGAACCTGCTGAAGGAGCGGTACGAAGTACGGCCGCGGCCGCGCAGCGTCTCCAGAAGCAGCAGGGACACCAGTGGCAGCCCCAACGCCCGAGTCCTCAGCACCAGCAGCAGCTCCAACGCCCGAGTCCTCAGCACCAGCAGCAGGGCCACTGGTCAGGTCCTCAGCACCAGCAGCAGCGCCACCGGTCGGGTCCTCAGCACCAGCAGCAGCTCCAACGCCCGGGTCCTCAGCACCAGCAGCAGCTCCAGCCCCCGGGTCCTCAGCACCAGCAGCAGCTCCAGCGTCCGGGTCCTCAGCACCAGCAACAGCACCACCGCTCGGGTCCGCAGTACCAGGAGCACCACTACGAAGACTGCAGCGCCGCGTGTACCACTCGCGGATCACCTGAATGGGGGGGAGCTCCTGGGTAGGAGGGGAAGTACCGGGACGAGCTCCAGAAGCACCTCTCCGGAGGCGGCAGTACTCGAGGTACCTCTCCTGCAGCTGCTGGGAGGAGGGGGCTCCTCCAGGTGGAGCACGCTCAGGCTCAGCACCCCCAGACTCAGCACCCCCAGACTCAGCACGTCCAGACTCAGCACCTCCAGGCTCCGCACCTCCAGGCTCAGCACCCCCAGGCTCCACACCTCCAGGCTCAGTACCTCCAGGCTCCGCACCTCCAGGCTCCGCACCTCCAGGCTCAGCACCCCCAGGCTCCGCACCTCCAGGCTCAGCACCCCCAGGCTCCGCACCCTCAAACGCAGCACTCCCAGGCTCAGCACCCCCAGACGCAGGACGCGAGTCAACAGCTACCTCGACAGGCTCACCCGGGTCTACCTGGGACACACCTGAGGGAGCGGCACCCTGAGGGGGGAGGGGGTCTGGTACCTCAGCACCTGGAGCGAGGAAGAGAGGCGGGGGGGGGAGCGGGGCAGTGCGGTAGGGGAAGAGGCGGTAGAAGGGGACGGACTCGTCAAAAGTGACGTCCTGAGAGGCCAGAACCCGGCGCGAGGTGACGTGGTAAAACTGCCATCCAGGCGCGTCGGGAACAAAGCCAAGAAAGACACAGGGAACAGTGCGACGCGAGAGCTTGTCCGCGGACGTGTCGCGGACAAAAGCTCGAGATCCCCAGACCCGGAAACGCGACGCATCGCCAACCTCTCCCGTCCACCGTAGAGTCGGGGAAGTCTCCGGCAAGGAGACACGGGGCCAGAGGTTGAGCTGATGCGCTGCGTACCGGACCGCAAACGGCCACAGAAAGTGGGGAGCAGCCGCATGGGTCAGGGAGGTACGAGCGACCTCCATGACTAAGCCAATGCGGCGCTCAGCAACCCCATTCTGCTGTGGAGAGGCCGGAAGCGTGTACGACTGCTCAATGCCGTGCTCAGCACAGTAGGCTGCCAAGAGGTCGGAGGCGAACTCACCACCCCTGTCAGAGTGCAAGCGCAGGACAGGAAAGTCCGAGTGAAAGCGCTCGCCTAGCTGGAGACGGGCTCGGCTGATCCAGGGGATCAAAACACCAGGGACGTCACCCTTGGCGCGCAAGGGGAAGACCGTGGTGTAGCGCGAGTAGTCGTCAACAACTATCAGGAAGTACCTCTCCTGACCCTGACCACGGACGCGGGCCGGGCCCCACACGTCCATGTGGAGCGTCTGCAGGGGAGCGGTCGTCGGGGGAAAGGAGGAGGAGTGAGGAGCGGCGCGCTGCCGCCCCTCGACACAGGGAATGCAGTCAGGAGCAGGGGAGTCAGGAAGGGGAGGGAGCACCCTGGGAAGACCAGCAACAAGGTCTCGTTTGTGCATGGCCCGCAGGCGCTGCACAGACGGGTGACCAAGGCGGTGGTGCCAGAGGACGGTGTCGTTCGCCAGAGAGCGACACGAGCAGGGGGCGGACAGCTGACCTGACGCTGACGCAGACGCAGCTACCTGAGGGGACTCAGTGGTCAGTGTGTACAGGTCAGACCCCGGCTCTCGAGTGAAAGTAGCTAGGTGGCGGCCCGTCCGAGCACACGTGCAGTGAGTCACACGCTCGTAGGCAGGGGTGAACTGGTGAACACCCGAGTCCTGGAGCGCACTACCTGCCACCAAGTTCGTGGAGAACGAGGGGAGGTAGAGACCTGAGAGCGTGCCGGACGGAACCGCTGGACACGGAAGGGTGGTGGAGGAGGTCGCAAGGACCGGACCCCCAGAGGGGTCAGCAAGAGAGACAGCAACCGGCCGAGCTAGAGGCTCAAGGACAGTGCGGTCACGAAAGAAAGAGCGAGAAGCACCTGAGTCCAGTGTGAAGGTGTGCAGTGCTGCAGTCGACTCAGTACCAGGGGGCACAGACGCACAAGCACCTAGAGCAGCAGCTGCAGAAGTACCTGTGGAAGCAGACACACTAGCACCTAGAGCAGCAGCGGGGCTGGCCTGAATGCCCGGGTCGGGCGGAACACGCAAGTACTGAGCACCCTCTCCACTAATAGACATCGCATACATGGCAGTGAGAATAGCATCAAAGTCAAGTGCCCAAATATCAACACCCTTCCTGCTCTGATACCATGTCAGAAATAACTGAGCAGGAATGAATGAACTAGAACAGAGTTTGGTACAAGTAGGAAACCCTAACTTTGTGTACCCCCTAAGGTGTAACCCACTACAGCCTAGACAATATAAACATGCAATGTTTGACACGTCCCTTTTTCAAATCTTCTCCCATCGTTGCCGCCCCTCCGTCCCCTTTTCAAATCTTCTCCCATCGTTGCCGCCCCTCCGTCCCCTTTTCAAATCTTCTCCCATCGTTGCCGCCCCTCCGTCCCCTTTTCAAATCTTCTCCCATCGTTGCCGCCCCTCCGTCCCCTTTTCAAATCTTCTCCCATCGTTGCCGCCCCTCCGTCCCCTTTTCAAATCTTCTCCCATCGTTGCCGCCCCTCCGTCCCCTTTTCAAATCTTCTCCCATCGTTGCCGCCCCTCCGTCCCCTTTTCAAATCTTCTCCCATCGTTGCCGCCCCTCCGTCCCCTTTTCAAATCTTCTCCCATCGTTGCCGCCCCTCCGTCCCCTTTTCAAATCTTCTCCCATCGTTGCCGCCCCTCCGTCCCCTTTTCAAATCTTCTCCCATCGTTGCCGCCCCTCCGTCCCCTTTTCAAATCTTCTCCCATCGTTGCCGCCCCTCCGTCCCCTTTTCAAATCTTCTCCCATCGTTGCCGCCCCTCCGTCCCCTTTTCAAATCTTCTCCCATCGTCACACTCACTACGTCCGCCCACACACTCTTCCTGCCATTCTCACCCAGTCCTCACCACCATCCCTCCCTTCATGCTTCCTATAACCAACCCCCTCCTCCCGCCCTCCCCTTCCTCCATCCCTCAAATTCCTTTCCCTTTCTTTGGCCTGCCCCTTACCTTCCTTCCCTCCCCTTCCTTCCCTTCGCTTCCTTCCCTCCCCTCATGCCCTCTTGTTCCCGTGCATGTGCTGCCATCACTTTTGCCCCATAAATGCCTCTAACTACATGTATTTCCTTTCTCCCCTCCCTGCCTTCCCGACACACCTCCCTGTCTTCCCTCCATGGGTTTGGGGACCCATTATTTACAGCTGCGACACCAGGTGTCAGGGTACCTGTATGCTTGGGAAAAGCAGCCAGTTTTGCATTCACATGCTGCTCCGTACAAATGTGCCTGCACGCTTTGCCCCAGCTACAAGCAGGACAACAAAGCCTGGCCCATGCAAGCTTGGCGGCGTGAAGGGAGGTGCATCAGGTCCCAGGAGTGAAGATGACACCAAGAGTAGAGGATGGTCCTGTTGTGTATACATGGCGATGATTCTAGCATGTGTACATACAGCTTTGAAAGCTCCTTTCATCCCGACATCATTTGCAAACCTAAAGATGGTTATAGAAAGACGAAAGGCGATTGAAAGACATAGGTTTCCTGGGTTTGGATGGATGTAACCATTACTTGCAATACAAAGGTGTTGTAACATGCTATTGATAGTAAGGTACACTGAAGGCAAGCCTAAGCTGAACAAAAATGGTTCCTCTTGTTCCATGCAGCATGCGAGAGCCCTGAAAGGGAGGGTGGTGATAACTGGGGGTGGAAAATGGAAACAACGGGTAGGAAGGCGGGGGAGGGAGGGTAAGCAAGGGGAGGAGGGAGCAATGGAGCATATCTCCCTTTCCGCTTCCCTCTCATCCCTCCTTGCAATTTCCCGTCCCTCCCTTCCCTCCCTTCTCTCCCGTCCCTGCCTTCCCTCATTCCCTCCCTTCCATCCCTTGCTGGTGAGCACTTCACATGCTGCTGTGAGCAGCGATACAGTGACCACCCTGCCCTGGAAGGGAAGGGGAGGGAGGGAAAAGAGGGAGTGACAATCGAAAGTGAGTAAGACTGTGCGGGCTACAGAGATGGGTTGGGGCAGAGATGGGACGAGGTGGAGATGGGATGGGGCAGAGATGGGATGAGGTGGAGATGGGATGAGGTGGAGATGGGATGAGGTGGAGATGGGATGAGGTGGAGATGGGATGAGGTGGAGATGGGATGAGGTGGAGATGGGATGAGGCAGAGATGGGATGAGGCAGAGATGGGATGAGGCAGAGATGGGATGAGGCAGAGATGGGATGAGGTGGAGATGGGGCGAGCAGCGCGTTGGTAGTACGGTACTGGAGGTGGAAAGTGGAAACTGTGGGTAGGGGGAGGGAGGGTAAGCAAGGGAAGGGAGCATAGGGAGGGGATGCAGGGGGGGAAAGGAGGGGAAGCAAGGAGGGGAAAGGAGGTGAAGCACGGGAGAAAAGGAGGGGGAGCTGTCGGCGTCCCTTCCCTTCCTGCCTTTCACCTGCTACTTGCCCCTGTATTGCCTGCTCCCCTTATTCCTGCCTTACTGTTCTCAGTCCCTTTCTCCCCCTTTCCGCCCTGCATAGTACTTCCTTCCTCAGCCATTCCCAATGAGAGATTCAGGCTCCCACTGCTGGCTACCAAGAGTGGCGTTAGTCACCTTGCTGCAGTAGCTTAGAACGGTAACGTAAGTCCACTATGCTCTGGTAAACAAACGAGAGAACAGGAGTCCTTTGCTAGGGTAGGCTAATTTATGCTAGGCCACCCAGTCGCGAGTTGCTCAGCGTGATGGGTTGGGCTCGAGCCGCCTTGGCCTTGGATTGGCCTTGTGCCAGATTTCCTGTCTCCCGAGGGCCCTGGAATTGTGCCCGCAGCGCCTTGCAATTCCCCATAGTACCAACTTCGCGTTCCTCCCAATGCCCCACCTACCCTGTGTTCAAACTGAATAACAACTACTACACTACTTCTACACCCCAGTTAGCACAGTTACAGAATATGATGCACTTACCATGATATTCAGTGACAGCTGTCGGCGTCCCTTCCCTTCCTGCCTTTCACCTGCTACTTGCCCCTGTATTGCCTGCTCCCCTTATTCCTGCCTTACTGTTCTCAGTCCCTTTCTCCCCCTTTCCGCCCTGCATAGTACTTCCTTCCTCAGCCATTCCCTGCCCCCTCCTGTACTCGTGCTCGGGCTGCCCGTGTACGTGTCACAGGACCCTCTTGCTGAGGCCGTCTCTCCCTCACTGCCGCTGCGTTCGTCTGGTGATCCACTGTCCGCTCACCCTTCTCATTCTCCGGCACCAGCACCCCTGACCCCCTCACCTCTTTAACCTTCCACCTCTCTGTCCCCAACCCTACATCCAAGGTGTCTTTCTTTGCCCTGCGCAGGTACACTTCCTGCCCCTCCGTCACTGCTGGCTTCGCCTTCCTGCCCCCTTGCTGTTGTCGTTGCTCATACCTGTGGGCATCTCTCAGCTGTGCCGTGTGCAAGTTCTCTAGGGCTGCCGGGAGCATTTCCCGCATGTATCGTGCTCGTGCTTCTGCCAGCGCCACCCACTGGTCTGCTCCCTTCACGCTCACCACCCCCGTCAGTACCCTTGGCGCTCCCACAGGCAGTATTGGTTCCTTTCCGTACAGCAGGCTATACGGGGAGTAGTCCTTCAGTGACGCCTGCTTCCCGAATCTGTACCCCGCCGCCACCCAGTCTAGCTCTTCATCCCAGTCTCTCTTCCGCTTCTCTCCGTACGCCCTCAGGTTCCGCTTCAGGGTCTGCACTAGCCGTTCAGTCAGCCCGTCGCTCTGAGGATGGTACCTTGATGTCTGCCTGTGTGTCACCTTTGCCTCATCCAGCAGCGCCTGAAACTCCCCCTTGAACTCCGTGCCCTGATCTGTGAGGACTTCCCCTGGTGCCCCAAATCTGCACAGCACCTGTCCCTTGAATGCCCTCGCCACCAGTCTAGAGTCCTTGCTCGGCAATGCACACACTTCTAACCACTTGCTTGCATGCTCAACCATGAGTAGGATGTATCGCTTTCCGCCCCTGCTCAGTGACAGCTCGCCGGCTATGTCCAGAGACCACCGAAACCCCAACCCCCTTATTGGCAGTGACTGCAGCTCCTGCTTTGCCTGTGTCAAGCTGGCCTTGCTTCTCTGGCAGCCTTCACAGCCACTGACCCACTCTCGGACTTGCTTCCTCATCCCTTCCCACCACCAGCCGGTCTTGAGCAGCTGCGTTGTGCGTTCATGCCCAAAGTGTCCCAGCTTCCTATGTACCTCCTCGATCACCCCTTCCCTCTCCTGCGGCGCAGGCACCAACTTCCACCCATCCACGGACTGCAGCTGCAGCTGTCCTTGGTACCATCGGTAGTGATGCCCTCGTGCCCTCACCCTATCTGTCACCTGCTCGTTCTCCTCTGTCTCCCCTTTAATCCACCGCAGGGTCGTGGGATCCTCCCATATGTCCTGTGGCCCCCTCTTTCCTTGCTTTTCTGCTGCTGCCTCCTCCCCTTGCCTAGCGAGCAGCATCAGCGCGTGCACGGGCTCGGCTGCGGGCGGGTTCCTTGAGAGCCCGTCCACGTGCTGCAATGTCTTTCCTGGTCTGTGGCGTATTTTGAAGTCATATTCCTGCAGGGTCACGGCCCACCGCGCGTTTCTCCCTGTCAGCCCTTGGTGGGTCATCAGCCACTGCAACGGCTGATGATCTGTGATCAATGTGAATTCCCTCCCTTGCAGGTACACTCTGAAGTGCTTCACGGCCCACACAGCAGCCAGCCCTTCCCCATGATAAGAGCTGTACTTGGCCTCTGCTGGGTTACAGCTCCTACTCGCGTAAGCCACCACCCTTTCCTCTCCATCCAGCTCTTGGCACAGGATTGCCCCCATGCCTTGGCTGCTCCAGTCAGTGTATAGGCAGAATGGCTTGTCGGCCTTGGGCAGCTGCAGAATCGTTGCTGTCTGTACCGCCTCCATCAAGTCTCGCAATGCCGCTTCTTGCTCTGTCCCCCACTCCCACCTTTTGTCCTCCCTCAGTAGCCCGTTCAGCGGTGCCGCGCGCTTGCTGAAATTGGGGACAAACCTTCGGTAGTAACTCAGAAAACCGAGCACCGCTCGCAGCCCGCTTCTGTCCTTCGGCTGCTGCAGCCTGTTCAGCACCTCCACCTTTGCCCGCTGAATCCCTA